CCACACCCCCGAGAGCGGCAGGACGGTCCCCGGGACGGCTGTGGTCTCTCTCCGGAGGGGCGAGGCCGGGCGGGCTGCGCTGGAGGCGGGAGGGCTCGAAGCTGGGCCCGGGATCCGAGCTGTGCCAGCGCCGCGCGGGGGATGCTGGCCTCGGCCTCGGGCGGCAGAGCTGGATCCCTCGCTCGTGGTCTTCCATCCACTTTTTCAACGTTTGTGGCAGCGCTCAGGGGCGTTTCTGCTGCCTTTTTGCTGTTTTGGCCTGTTGAACACTTTCTAGTTAAAAGGGGGCGGAGAGGTGAGCTACTAGGAAGTATTTTCGAAGACATGTTCAATGTACAAGACCGCGATGTAGAGATTAGAGTAATAGGGAAAAGAAGAAAAAGGGGTGATCCTCCGAGGTTTTGACATCCAGCGAGCCACGTGGCTCAAGTCCAAGTTCTAGGCTCCAGAATTGGTGGGTAGGGTACTTTCGATGCTGACTTTTTTTTTTTTTTTTTAGTTGATTATGCACAAGTAGGGAATACAATTATGTCGCTTAATGTAAACTGGCTTCTATCTTTAGAGGTCTAGGTCATGAAAGCTGGTCTGGGTTATGAGAAAAAATGTTAGAACAGAGGGTGACCTTTCTGCCAGTGACTTGTGAATGCGTTCTGTGTCTGGCGTTCCGCCTAACACAGTGTCTATGTTTTTACCCTACGAAGCACTTGCCCTGCGTGGAATAAGGAAAAAGATGAATTAGTGGCCTATTTAGTTGAACCTTACAACTTAAGCATTTTCAAAGCTTTAAGATTCAGGCGTAGAGTCTGGTGTGAAGCCGTCTTACCCCAAAATGTTGCCCCTTGTAACAAATAGTGTCAGGAAAATACACCAAAATAATTACTAACATAACTTTTGAGAGAATTGAGGCTAACTTCCCTTTTCATATAGTCTTTATAGTTTTAAATTTTGCTGTTACTACTTTGTTTAGTTGATGTAAAAACAATCGTTTAGAAAAGGATTGGGCCGTACTGACTTCTTCCTAACAATGCATTTAGATAGGCGGTATTCAAGTCATTTAATATGCATAGGAAGAAAGTTAATGTATAGAAAGAAACATGTTGCAATTTTTGCATTAACTGTTAATATTAAAATTGCTTGCCTTGGGCCGGCCTGTGGCTCACTCGGGAGAGTGCAGTGCTGATAACACCAAGGCCACGGGTTCGGATCCCATATAGGGATGGCCGGTTTGCTCACTGGGTGAGCGTGGTGCTGACAACACCAAGTCAAGGGTTAAGATCCCCTTACCGGTCATCTTTAAAAAAAAAAAAAAATTGCTTGCCTTATTGAGATATACTGTATATGTTACATAACTGTAAGGAACGTTTTCTATTTTATTGTTACCCTCTTAAAAACTGTGAACAATATTAATGTAACTGGTGCAAAGGACGGAAGTCCTAGAAGGCCTTCATTATCAAAATAGGCAGCTTGTTTTCCTGTATTATCACATTAAGCTAAGAAGCTTAGCCTGGTGCGTTGTCTCATGTCCATCAGGTGGAGGCATTTGGAGGCAGGGAGAGCTTTTCTTCTCTTACAAGTACCTCTGCACCTAGGGAAGACTTACTGGATTGCATAGACAGGTGATGAGGGAGGAACTAAATGGAAAATTGCTGTTGTATCTGAATCATATTTTTACATATACTTTTTGTAAGTTTAAGACAAATCTGAAGTATCTGTGAAATACACATCACTATTTTAGTAAGTGACAACTTGACTAAGAGGGAGAGTGCCCCTTTTAAAACTGCCTAAGTGACATGGACTGTTGATACTGTACCTGGTTCTTACAAGTGAAGTCTCTTATCACTTCTGATGACTGCATAAGTGGCCTGGTACAATGCCTGCCATATCGAAAGCAATCAATAAATGGGTCTTGAATAAACAAATAAATGATTCAGAGGCAGTATCTCGTAGGTTATCAGAAAGTAGTTTTTAAATTTTTATTGCTGTAGAAACAAAAAGTAAGTAGTCAATATGAAAGGTCTAGGTCCTAGAGTGTAGAAGACAGAACAAGTTGAAGATGAATTAGATTCTAGAGACTCTGGCAGTTGAGGAGTGGTAAGCTCCAAAATCCTTGCATAGCCTTGGTGGGTTAGGAAGTTAAAATTAACTGTTCAGTTGCTTTATAGGCACTGGGGAAGATGGTGACTAGTGTGACTGACACACAAAACCATCCTCCTCTCCTTTTCACAAACAAAGCAAATGCGAATGCTAATCCCCGCCCCTATCCCCACCCCTAGCATTAATCACATCTCAGACTGTCCTGCCCTTTGTGGATTCTTTTTCTCTTGGGAGTTATTTACAATCAGATTTTCCAAATTTTTATTATGAAACATTGGCCAGGGTTGGGACCAGAGAGTGGGAGTTGAGGGATAGGAATTGGAGCAGGTGACAAACAGAATAGAACAAACAGGGTGATTTAACCCTGGTCCTCCTTCCACATCTGTCAACCAGGGATGACCCTGAATATAAATTACTCTCTGCCCTTTGCTGAATGAACTGCAATTTAGGAGTTGTACTTATCCTGGTATCCTTGGAAACTGGAGATAATGATTCTCATTACAGTTAGTTTCTATATTTAACAACATGGATGTATGTGGCTCTCTAGGCACTTTTTCAGTTAGCATAATTTTTTGCTTAGTGTTTGTACTTTGTAAAAATACCATCTCTCTCTTTAGAATGTGTTAATATAATATAAAGTATACAGGATATACATATATTTTGCAAGGGTCAAGTGTTTCAGAAAAGTCTACTTCTTCCTATTCTGCCAAAAAACTAGATCAAATGGGAGTATTATATTTGTAATAATTTGTAATAATTTGGAACATGTTTATGTAGTTTGTTGATTAACTGAGCTCTTTTATTCATATTATTTTTCCCTCTTCCTCCTTTTCCATCACTCCTGGCCCCTCTCCCTCTTACCCTTCTCTCACTTTTGACTTCTTTTGAGTCTTACTTGTCTTTGATCCCTTTAATTATTAGCTATCTCATTTTCCATAAAGTGGGATAAATTCAAAGGGTAAAAGTTGTAAGGTGGTACTTTAGGATGCAGAATTAGAGGGAGTAAGGGTAGTCTGCAGCCTCAGGAATGCTTGATTCAATGGACGTGCTGAACGTGGTTTATGTATGTTTTACAGATCTTTATGGCAGTTACTGTGTTAACTTTGCTTGTTGAAGGTAACTAAGTGCTAACATTTAAAATGGTTTTAACTATTTTTATGCCTTTTTAATTTTGTTATAATTTCAAATTTACTGAAAAGTTTCAAGAATAGTACAAGAAACTTCACCATAGCCTTGTTTAATTATTTTGGTTTCCATTTTCCCATGTTGTGAACTCATATGGTTCTGAGTTTGCTTATGGTTTCCTTAAGTCATTTTAAATAAATATAAAAATTGAAAAGCTTAGAGGTCATATGGGCCAACCATGTCTTGCATTGTAGGTGAAGAAATTCACTGTTCAAGAGTTACTGCAAGTTCTGTGTCCTTTCTCCAAGTTACGCAGTGGAGGTGTCAGCTATGACTTTAGCCACTGTGGTACAAATGTCAAAATGTCTCTTTTTCCCACCAAACCCCTCACCAAATCTCCCTAGCCAAATGAAGTTGTTTAGCATGTCTTTTAAACTTTGCTGCTGTTGTTTAACAAGAGTTAACAGAGCTCCAAAAGTAAGCCAACAGCCTTCACACAATTTTAGAGTTTTAGAGGGCTTTATAGTTTTGCCAGATAGTAGAGTAGATATTTTTGGCTTTGCAAGCTGTATGTTCACTGTTGCAACTGCTCATCTCTGCTATTGTAGAGAGCAGCCATAGAAAAATCGTTTAATAAGTGGGCATGAGTGTGTTGCAATAAAACTTTGTTAACAAGATAATTGGCAAGCCAGACTTGGGCAATAGTTTGCTGACCTTTGGAACATGTTAGAAGATAGACCATTGGAATACTGAGGTTTTTGGGCCAGCCCGGTGGCTCACTGCTACAGTGTGCCGCTTGGGAAGTGTGGCAGCGCTCCCGCCGAGGGTTCGGATCCCACATACAGACCGGCCGCTCACTGGCTGAGCGAGGTGCGGGAGCAACACCGAGGGTTGCGATCCCGTTGCCGGTCCCGGTCCGGTACGGGCACGACACTGAGGGTTGCGATCCGTTGCCGGTCACGAAAAAAAAAAAAAAAAAAAGAATACTGAGGTTTTGGGCTGGCCCGGTGGTGCACTGGAGAGTGCGCCGCTTGGGAGTGCAGCGGCGCTCCCGCCGAGGGTTCGGATCCCACATACAGACCGGCCGCTCACTGGCTGAGCGAGGTGCGGGAGCAACACCGAGGGTTGCGATCCCGTTGCCGGTCCCGGTCCGGTACGGGCACGACACTGAGGGTTGCGATCCGTTGCCGGTCACGAAAAAAAAAAAAAAAAAAAGAATACTGAGGTTTTATTTACAGTTTTTCAATGTTTATTAATAAACATCTCTCAGCAACGATTGCAATCTCATATTCTGTAGTGATTTTTTAAGATGTTCAAAAATTAAAAGAATTAGTCCACATACTTAGGGATCGGTTTGAGAGATACGCAGTCATGTTTTCCTTCTTTTAAACAAATGTCTCTCTAAGGATAAAATATATAAAACTTCATACTTGTATTCTATTAAGTTATGATCTACCATTAATTCAAGGCTACTGCAAAGCTCAAGGATGGAGACTGTTAGGGCTATAAATTGCCTTCCATCATGAAAATAATTTGAGCCACACAGAAAAAGAAATGTGTTCTTGTTATCAGTAAACTATCACTTAAAAAGCTGTGTAGGACAGTAAAGCTTTTTTTTTTTTTTTTTAAAGAACAGGCAGATGATCTTGGGTATATAGATGTTACTATCTATAAGTATAAAAATAGTTTGAAATTGAATAGAAGGTACATCCATGGAAAACTGATGCATGCAGAACATTCAATGCCTGTATCACTTTAGAAATTATATCTTGTAATAATGCACAATATATGAGTTCTGTGACTTCTTTGATATCAAATATTTTGAGATTTTGTGAATAGAGGGATAAAAACTCAACATTTCTTTAAATCCAAAATTCAAATGGTAAAATATCAAATGTTCCACATTCTTGATCCGTGCTGCCATTGGTTTTAATATAAATGATCCCTTTTAATGGAGGAGGAAGGAGTAGGATAAAAGAAGATTCTCCTTAATGCTTTCTTGGTTCCATTTAGTGTGTTAGAGAATTCTTTTTCTTTTGATGTACTGGACAGTGCATTACTGTTTGCTATTAAATTCTATTAGCGATAACATATTTAAAGCTATTAGCAGAGTCTTAGCATGCTCAATAAATGTTGAATGAATTAATCTCTTTGTGATTTTTTTTCTTAGTCTTATTCAACCCATTTTTGGTATGAGAACATCCCACTGCATAATGTAAAAAATGTTTGTTGTGGAAAAGTTTGCTTTCAAATGCTTACTGAGAATGTCATCCATGCCATTAAACACTTCCATGAGTATTTCTAGTAATGAAACAGAAGCTGAAGGGTTGGTTTCTTAAATCAAGATAATTGTCTCTAGAGAAGGTGTGTTTCTACAAGGCTAGAAAAAGGTCAGCTTCTGAAAGGTTTGACTAGAGTTTGTTCAAAAGCATTTATCGAACCTTTGTTCTATGAAGGCATTTTACCCCACAGAAATTATTTAGAGGAGAACCTAATAGAGATCTTTTCCTAATAGCCAAGAAAAAAATTGCCTCTGGGGGAAAAACAATGACAGCAACAACAAAAACTGAAGCCCTCCATCCAGCTGGGACATGAGAATCCAGCTGGGACATGAGAGGCACT